TGGAGGAAAAGTTTAGAGTAGATAAACATGACAATAGAATAACATTTTCCTTTTGCTTGGGGTGGAAGTCAAAAATGGATAATCATTCTCCTTCTAATTTTAACAAATATGCATATGATGGTAGTTGAAAATAACCGTTTAATGTAATGTATTTATAGGGATAAAATAGAAAACATGAATGTCTTATTTCTTAAGTTATAGTTAATAACTTAATATTATTTCATAAGGCGAATTTTACGTACCAAATATGGAATCTTTTTTTCTTGCCCATACTTCAATTAATTACGTTAGTAATTCGTAAAAATAAAAAAAATGGGTGGACCCCAAAACGAAATAAGATCCTCATGACAAATGCCAATCTGACATAAAACAGTTATGTCGCCATGGTACTATGCATGACACAAAGGTAATAATTACTGTATGATAAATTAAAAAGGCGTAATTAAGAAAAAAATATATAAACTAATTTTCATAAAAAAAGAAAAACAACATCATTTTTATGTTTTTGATTTAAATTTCAGATTGAGAGACTTTAGTTTTAATGTTTAGGGTTTATAATTTAAAATTTAAGATTTAAATTGATATTATGTACTTTGGTATATTATTAGTTTTGGTATAAAATATAGACTTTGTTTTAGGGTCTCATAAAAAAAAAGGTGATTATTTGGATACAAAAATGAGACATGCTTAAGGACCCCCTACCCATACCACCACAACACGCTTTGAATCATCTTCAATAGATGATAAGAGTCATGCATAGTAAACGCTACTACGACTATTCAATACTCATAAATAATTGAGAAATTGTTAAAAATGCCCCTTTTTCAATACCCCTTTTCAAAAATGCCCCTTTTGAGAGTCCATTTTTAAGTTTACCCTCTTTTAATTTTTAATGACCATTTTACCCTTATTTGAAACAAAATTAGGTCCACAAAATACAAAATATTTTTTGGCGGGAAAAGTGATCCCGTAATTTTCCCGCCAAAACACTTGTAAAAAACCTTTAAAATACCTTGTAAAATTTTCCCGTAAAATTTTTTTCCGCCAAAATTTTTTTTTGCGGGAAAAGTGATTCCGCAATTTTTTTTGGCGAAATTTTTTTGGCGGAAAAATTTTTGGCGGGAAAAATTTACAAGGTTTTTTAAAGGTTTTACAGAGTATTTACAAGTGTTTTGTAAAGTTTTACAATGTATTTTAAAAGGTTTTACAAGGTACTTATAAGGTTTTATAAGGTATTTATAACTTGTAAAACCTTATAAAAAACTTGTAAAACCTTATAACTTGTAAAACCTTATAAAATTGCTTGTAAAATCTTATAATATCTTATAAATACCTTATAAATACGTTGTAAAACCTTTTAAAATACATTGTAAAACCTTATAAATACCCTGTAAAAAACCTTTAAAATACCTTGTAAACTTTTCCCGCCAAAAATTTTCCCGCCAAAAATGTAACGCCAAAAAAATTGCAGAATCATTTTGGCGGGAAAATTTTTTGGCGGGAAAAAATTTTATGGAAAAATTTTACAAGGTATTTTAAAGGTTTTTATAAGTTTTTACAAGTGTTTTGGCGGGAAAAATTGCGGGATCACTTTTCCCGTCAAAAAATATTTTGTATTTTGTGGACCTAATTTTGTTATATTTCCTTATATATTTGTGATATATTTTATTAAAAGAAGGGTAATTTAGTCATTTTGTACATAAAAAAGGGTATTTTTAAAAATGGACAGCCAAATGGGGCATTTTTGAAAATGGGTATTGAAAAAGGGGCATTTTTGTGAGTCTCCCTAAATAATTTGGTCAACTATATTTTGATTATTTCCCTTCATAAATATGAAAATATTATATGTAGATATTTTGCGTGGTGGTTAGTCAAAGTGAACGCACAAATGGAAGATAAAAATCACTCGTAAGTGTGAAACCTTATAAACACACACAAAAACTACTTATATACGAATACGACTAGATTGGAGTGTAATAACTTTTTTTTTTCTTGAGTAAAAATGAGAACACATACCTAGTAAACAAATTTATTGTTTTGTTGGAATTAAATTTTTGATGAATAATTCGACACGACAGTAATAACTCACTGGGACAACCAAAAAAGTCATATTAATTCATGGAACATATGCTGACAAACAAAAACAAATCATGGAACATCTATTTGGTGTTTTCCAAAAGCAAATATCGTCTTTAAGTCAGAAAATGCAAACAATTATGGCCAAAAAAAAAAGCATGGGTCTAGAAAGTTGTAAGAAATCTTGTATATCAAACTGGTGAAAATTGGCGACACAATATTGTTTTACTGAATATTTTTCTATTGAAAAGAGTTCGGTTTTAACTTTTATGTTTACTCAACTAGTGTAAGAAAAAACGCCATTCTAAGGTCAACAAAATTTGGGCCAATATTCCAATTACATGCAACTATTTTTTTTGGATTGAAACGTCGAATGAATTGTCATTAATACAGTATAGTATAAGAACAACAGAGACACGTACGTAGGTTCGGTTAGATGTTTGTGTCTATAACTCTATGCCAAGTGATGATAGGTGATTCGTCAATCTTAAAGTATATATTGAAAACCAAAATAATTTGCTTTACAATCTCTGAATTATATTCTATGTTTTGAGATCATCCATATTCCAATTTTACTGTCGTTAAGGCTCTTCTTTCAAAGGACTCTTTAACCCTATTTGCAAGATGGGTGATACACGGACAAGATCTTAAAGATTAGGAGAAAATCATGAAGACTAATCTAATTTTAGTTTGGATACGTACCACTACCCAAATAAACTATGTACGAGGACGATACAAACTAGAAGAGAAATATATATGCAACATCGTCACGAGATCTATGACAGATCTTAGTCGTACGTACACAAATGGCTGACAGATCTTAATCATTGATATATATTTTCAATGATTTTTATTTTATTTTGAAACTTGCAAAAAAATCAATATAAGATGCATCGTAGTTTTATTTGTTTGGGGTCGAGTCACTTGAATTACGACATTATTTCTTACAACTTATCACCAAAAACATTTACCACCTTATACATATAATCTGAAATAAGTTATCTAAAAATGGCTCTTAATATTTAATAAAATTTTTTTAAAACAAAGCATTTATCTGATGTTGAAGTCTACATCGGGAAGCGAAGGTCATCAAACGGCCACTTGGACTACGATGAGAAAATTTCAAGTTGGCTGCTTGTTGGCTTTTAGTATAATATTGACCACAAATTTATTTATATTCTTATAGGTATAATATGATGATACTTATATCTATATAATACTCCATAAATATTTTATATATATGATAGGTATGAGTGTGTTTCTTTTTGTTAAATATCCAAGGAAGAGTGCATAACCATTTTGGAACCATTTATATGTTAAGATAATAAAATTTAGAATATATATACTGTATCAAATAACTATATGTTATTAAAGAAAAATATAGATGAAGATATAGTAGTTAAGTTGGGTAGTTCAATATGTATACTTTTTTTTAATACCATGCTATTTTAAATATATACATAACCAATAACCCAAAATAATTACTATATTTTCATCTATTTTTAATAACATATAGAACAAATACACATTGCATTATTGCAAATAAAACTACTTTTTTTTGCCAAAGACTACATCCTTCTTATTTTTCACTTTCTATTTTCTAAGAGCTCTGCTTACGAATAATTTTTTTGATCGAATCCGCTCTTCCGAGAGATTCAGTCCCATTCTAGAAGTTGTCTGCCCAACTCCGCAAATAGCATATTGAATTTTGAATCTTCCTTGAACTAGTCCATACCCAAACCACCATTCTTCCTCATGTAAAAATTGGTTCTGCTATTATAAATGTTGTTTATTTAAGACTTGAATGCAGAAAAAATATTTCATGCTATCTAAAAAAAACTAACATGATTCAGTCACCAATGTTCGAATCGTCTATAACATAAGATATTTATGCTATAGAAGATCAACTATGACTTGTTTTGGAAATGGTAAAGTAATCAAACTTTTTTGTTCAACCAATATGTTTTATGGGTTAGTATTTGGTTATAAGAACATCCTTTATATGTTGTATGTGATACTAAGACCATGTATATGGGTGATATTTTTAGAGTATCACAAACGCAAAAATTATTTTTATATGGACAAAACAATTCGAATCGGCCTGATCCGTATCAGCCCAATGATACTTTTGATCATCTGACGTGACATCTCCTGATTGGTCGCGTTTTGCCGAAAGCAGGGAAAAAAAAAATCTGACGTGGCATCTCCTAAAAAATTATTAATGATACTTTATGAGTATCACCTATGACCATGCTCTAATGTCACCGCGCACATTTGATATCTCCCCATATGATTTCTTCCAATCTTTGCCGAAAATTTTGAAAAATGGTCCAAAAACATAATTTTTCCGAGATACTACGGGTCGAACCACACATACTCAGTATTCATTGACTTTTAAAAAAAGACCCAAGTATTTTATCAACTTGATCCAACATATATATCTGATGAATCTTAAACCACATGTTGTGAACTTGTGATCACTCCAACACTAAATTTGTAAAATTTTGTTCCTGAAAATAAGTTTCTTGTGGACAAGTTATAATTAATTAATCCCCAAAAAAAAGAAAAGAAAAAGAGAGAAATTGGCCCCAAAATAAAAAAGAAACAAAAAAAAGAGAAAATATCTGACAAGACTGCCCGAAATCACAAGTAACTGTAACAAAACTGACAACGGGCCAACAAAAAAAAAAACTGCCCGTCGGGCAAATCCCCAAACTCCTCCAATAGAGTCGTCTCTCTTTATCTCCGTCTCTCTCTCTTTTTTAATTAATTAACTTTCCAAAAAAACAAAAATAAAAAGATTTAAAAATTAATATCTTCTCAACAAATGAGACTATCAATGTGTACATAAATGTGAATCTTCCCTCTTCTTCTCCATTGTTAAAGCTCTCTACAACCACCGTTCTCCGTCACGGTGGCGCTTTATTCTCTCATCGGAGCAGCGCCTCACCGGTGGCAGACGGTGTCGTTGTTCCTCTCCTAAAAACCTCCATCACCATCTCTTACACAGAGCTCCAACGAGAATCTTCGAGATGGGACAGAGTATGAGCTGTGGAACTAGACCGGAGCACGGTATTTTCGCCTCCGTACAGTGCGGCGATATCACTACTATCCGCCGTCTGATAACGGCGGATCCTAGTCTCTTAAATCAGACTACTGCTTATGATCGCCACTCTGTTCTTCATGTCGCTGCTGCTAATGGTCAGATCGAGGTTAGTTTTACTGATATTCTCCGAGATCTCGCCGGAATCTGGTGATTTTCGTTTCCGATTCGATGCATTTTCTGATGATTCTATTTTTTTTGCAGATTTTGTCATTGCTTTTGGAACGATTTACGAATCCAGATTTGTTGAATCGTCACAAGCAGGTTTTGATTTTCGCGTTGATCTGGTTCTGTGTATAAGTTTTATGAATATTTTTGTTGATTTTTGATTCGTCTTGTAGACTCCGTTAATGTTGGCTGCGATGTATGGAAGAATCTCTTGTGTGAAGAAGCTAGCTGAAGTTGGAGCTAATGTACGTTTTACTTTTTTTTTTTGCAATTGTATCAGTTTTGGATTTGGGATTGAAAATCTTTTGGAATCTGCAGATTTTGATGTTTGATTCTGTGAATCGAAGAACATGTTTGCATTACGCTGCATATTATGGACATGCTAATTGTGTTCAAGCTATTCTCTCTGCTGCTCAATCAAGTCCTGTTGCTGTTCATTGGTGAGTCTTTTGATCTGTTTTTTTGTATTTTGTGTGTGCTTTAGAATGAAAGTTCAGACTTGGAGTTTGGATTTTTCAGGGGATATGCGAGATTTGTGAACATAAGAGATGATAAAGGAGCGACTCCGTTGCATTTAGCGGCAAGGCAGAGACGACCTGAATGTGTGAATGTTTTGTTGGATAGTGGTTCTCTTGTTTGTGCATCTACTAGTGTATATGGGTAAGGGATTGAAATCGAGTCATTGGAACTGATCCTTTCAAGCTTTTGTTGAAACTGATCCTTTCAAGCTTTTGTTGAAACAGTTCTCCAGGGAGCACACCTCTTCATTTGGCAGCTAGAAGTGGATCTATCGATTGTGTCAGAAAGTTGCTTGCTTGGGGTGCTGATCGTCTTCAACGAGACGCTTCTGGGTATATATATAAACATTCTATATTTGTGGAAAAATCTGGTTTTAGTTTCAGAACATAACTTGAATCTTGATATCTCTTTTCAGGAGGATACCTTATGTGGTTGCTATGAAGCATAAGCACGGAGCATGTGGAGCCTTGCTTAACCCGTCCTCTGCTGAGCCTCTTGTTTGGCCGTCGCCATTAAAGTTCATCAGCGAGCTTAATGAAGAGGCGAAACTGCTCCTAGAGCAGGCTTTAATGGAGGCTAATAGGGAGAGAGAGAAAACAATCCTCAAGGGAACAGCTTATTCCTTACCATCACCCTCTTTCTCTGACACGGATGATAACATGTCTGAGGTAAATACTACACCCTTTTACTTGACCCAAGGCTCGGTAATTTTTCTGTTTGTAGTAACGTGTAAATGTGTCTATAGGTGAGTGATACAGAACTGTGCTGCATTTGCTTTGAGCAAGTATGCACGATTGAAGTCAAAGACTGTGGTCACCAAATGTGTGCACAATGCACACTTGCACTGTGTTGTCACAACAAACCGAACCCAACGACATCAACTGTGACTCCACCGGTCTGCCCGTTCTGTAGAAGCACCATTGCATGTTTAGTCGTCGCCCAGAACAACAACAACAACAACGAAAAGAGCAAAAGCCTAGATGATGTTGTTGTTGATCGTGAGGCAGGTGATGTTAGCTCCTCCAAATTCAGAAAACATAGAAGATCAATAAACCTTGGTGAAGAAAGCAGCAGCTTCATGGGACTATCAACTATTGGATCGTTCGGTAGGATAACCGGCCGTGGCTCGGGAAGGATCGCAGCCGACAACGAGCTGATGGACAAACCGATATTGTGAGGATCGATTCCGTTTATGGGACATTTTGGGGCATGGGGGAGAAAATGAAAGATGAGGGGGTGAAATTGTGAGAATGTATAAAATATAGATGAATTTATGTTAGATCTTTTGTTGAAGGGAGGAAGATTGAAATAAAGGAAAAAGATGGGAAGTGTGTAATGCAAGGATTTGTTGTTTCTTTGATTAAGTTTGGCCAAAATGGTTTGTTGTTGTTATTATTTGGTTACTTGATATGAAAGGGAAACCCATAATCTTTTTGTCTTTGTCTCATCTTTTTTGGTTATTTTCTCACTAAACTTACCAAGAAAAGGCAAATTAGACTTTTCGCCTAATTTTCCATTAAAAATGGATAATTTTAACGAAAACTCGAAAGGTAGAGTTCGAGTTTTCACCATATTCGAAAACACTTAAGACGTCTTAAATTGATAAAAATGTTTGATTGTTTACATGTTTTGTAAAGATTAGTCCATGTTTTGGACCGGGATCTATCGCGATTATATCGAAAAAAACCGGATAATTTAGGTTAGATTTGTGAGATGGGAACAAATGTGATGTGAACGGCTGCTAAGTCGCCAAGGTAGATTAAGATGGAGAGTCTGAAAAAGAAGAAGAAAAGGTTTATTCTCGGTGGTGTTTATTGATCATTGACCCTACACGAACCCATCACTTTCTAGCAACTTGTGGTCTCCAAATATGGCTCTTTGTACTTAACTAAAATATCTTAACATTTTTAACTTTAGTCAAATTAGATCAACTAGTAGATACACATGGCCACTTTTTGTTTATTCGTGGACAATTTGTTTTTTTATACGTCAAGACAATTAGTATAGAGTCATAGGGAAGACCAATTCGGTGGTTAATTATTTAAATGTAAATCGATTTTAGAAAAGTAAACCTACTGGTTATGATAATATAAAATTAGACAAACGAAAAGAATGAGTGATTGATTTCTTACTTTTATATGTCTTAAACGTGTTTAAGCCGAAAGAGTAGATCCATGTCAAGAAGAAGAAAAAATGAAAGAAAAAAGTGATAAAAATTAGGGGGCTAAATGAATAGGATATCTAATTTTAGAATATTAATTTGAAGTCGAAACTCAACTACAAGTACAACTATCAAGATCCGTATTCGCGATTTTTGGATATATGGATATCCGTATATCGATTTAAAATTTTGAATAACCGTCAAAACATCAAAATATTCATAGAAATACAAATCAAATTCGTAAGAAAACAAATAATTCAAATAAAAAATACATAAATATATTATTAAAAAAATAAATATTTCTATGCAATTTAAATCTACTATGGTCTAAATATGAAATTTAGTTAGCATATGTAATCACACACTATATGCAAAACATTTTAAGGAAAAAAAAAATACATTTTCTTATATTTAGCGAATCCATATTTTAAAATTAAAATATCGAGATTTAGAACTAGTATTGATAGATACAAATTTTTTTTTTTTAAACTATCTGATGCAATCTTAAATAGGATTTTAGATCTTCAAGGTAATTTCATTTCCAAACACAGTTGTGCAATTTATGATGCTTTAATCTGTGCAATTGTGTAAGTTTATCATGCTTTGACATTTCAAGTTTAACATATAGGACCCACTTTTTGGTGCTATAATTTAGTTGTCAGGTTATTGGACCCGACCCAAGGGTTGATGAAAGCAGATTTAGATTAGATACCTTAACCCAACAAGAAACTAATTTCAATATATAAAATCGTCATAATATGATCCAATGAGTTTCTCTACTCAGCCATCACTTTCGTGCTACATGAAAATATCTTCCTTTTTTTTTCGTTTCCAATTACTCGTGGTCACAGGTCATAGGACTCATAACTCATAAGTCACACCGTACATATGTATGAAAGTTCAAACGTGTCATATTGTCTTCGAGGGATGCCAAATCATGAAATCAACGTCTCTTACACTTAATCTCTAATAATACCAACGAATAATATTCAAGCACCAAACTGACAATACGCGACTTATGTGTCATCGAATTTTGAAGGGACTATGTCAAAATTGGTATTACCTTATCTGAAAGAACAAAAATTGTATTTCTTCAAAAAAAAAAAAAAAAGAACAAAAATTGTAAAAAATCTTAAATTATTCTACTCAAAACTTAAATATACATGAATTGATAAAATAAAAATGTTAATTTGAATATTTTTCATTTAACATATGAACTAACTTTAATTATACAAAACCTAAACTTAAATATAATTAAACTTTGATATAGTTCTCGACGCAGTCGGAAAGTTGGAAAGGTTGTCATGATTCTAGACGCAGTGACACTGATTTTTTTTTTTTGTGTAGTATTAAGAGATTTGCTCACTCTCTCATATCCATAAAGTCTCGTAAACTAAAAATATATATATCTAGAAGTAGCCGAATACAAAACAATGTGGGGTTGGATTATTGATTGAATCCCGGTAAACCGAAAACATAAGTATTTAGAAGGATACGAGTTGATTCCCGTCAGAAGAGATAATTTAGTATATTTTATAGAAAATGTATGGATCGGAGGTAGGCCTAGAACTTTAAGGTTATCAAGAAAATGATTTAGTGAGTTTCTGATAACTCAATTTATTGTGTGATTTTCATGTTGAGATTGTTATTATGTAGATATAGATGCAATTGAAATGAACTTAATTTTTTTTATTAAGAGTCATTTAAACAATCTAATAAATCTGTTTATTCAAGTTTTCGTTAGTAAGATTTTGTCTATTCTTGATCCGCAGAATCAGTTAACTAGGTACGGCTCAGGCTCGTTTGTCACTCTTCCCCGAAGAGCTCTACTTTCTCTGGGACTGCTGAAGGAGATTACATGGAGTAGAACAACTCTATTGCTCTAACAATAACTGTGAGGAGCTAGCCGATCAGAACGTTCATGCAATTGCTCCCCATTATTTGAAGAACGTTTACAGTCATTATCGACTTGGACAGCTATTTCTTCCGAAAATCTTGTTTAGGTTGTTAAATCCCCTTGGGGAGCTAGGGGTTCCCAATTTTGGTGACAACCTACAGATCCTATATGTGGAACCATGGCTGCAACCTCTATTTTTGGAAAAGGTGATTATATTTAACACTTTTTGTTTTTGTTTTTGGGATTGGAACACTTTGTCCATTGTTCAAAAGTTGCACATGCACTTTTTAAGAAACGTTAGGTGCTCTAGGCTCATGATTAGAAGTTTCCTTAAAGCCATAATTAATATAGCCTTTTTTCTATGTAAGATCAAGTCAAAAATCAAAATATAAACAAACAATGATGTTTATAGATCTTCCACGTGATTTACAATTTGAAATACTCTTTAAGGGTTCCGACTATGCATGGATATTCGGATTTAAACTGATTTAAACCGGAATTGTGTAATTAAAGTCTAGAAACGAAACTAGAAATCGTATTCACGTGAATGTGGCATTATAAATGGTAACGTGGTGGTGACTTCTGAGTTATTAGATGGTAAGGTGGTAACGTATCATGGTCACGTATAGAATTGTGGTGTTGTACGATTGAGATGAATTGAGATTATTGAACCGAAACATTGTGAACTTGGATTATTTGTGATATTATTAAATTATTAGATATTTTGGTTGATTTAATTACTTAATCAAGTCGGATTAATTTAATTGGAAGTATACCAAATCAAATAATCGAGACTAGAATTTTGGTTTGGATTATTAGATTAAATCATAGATTATTAAGTATTTGACCGATAAATTTAAACCGTTGCAAATAGAAATCGTCGTTGAAGCAGGTTCTTGTTGTTGCTAGTACTAAACCAAGGAATTCAACCGATAGGCTAAAGTGAGGGTGGTATCTGCGGATATGCAGTAACCTCTTTCCTTATATACTCTTCGATAGTTGCTGAGTATATGCTCGAGAATTGTTTTTATTGATTTATGTAAATTTGTGTGTGTATGATAAAGTTAGGTTGTTAGTAACATGATATGTGAAATGCATTAGTGACATGATTTAATATCATATTTAACGTATATTAAATTATAAAAAATGATTATGTATATGTATATGAGAAGAGAAAATTAAAGAGTATGAGAATGATACTTGAGGAGGTTAGACGGTAATAGACCGACAGATTCATATACATGTCATTAACCGCTGACGAGCAATAAGGGGAAGGATCGAGGTACGGGCTATGGTATGGGACCATATGCTATTCCGATATTTGGTTCAATCTCGATGCTGTGTTTTAAAGAATAACTAGAGATTTTCAAATAAAAAAGTTGCAAATCCAAATTTGAAAAAAAAAAAAATTGTATTTGATTTTTTTCCTTACAAAAATGATTCACGCAGTAGATTAGTCCTTTGACGACTGATATCATTTACATCAACTACAACATTAGAGGGTTCAATTTTTCTTTAGAGGGTTCAGTTGAATGAGATTAAGAAATTTGATTATCCATGTCTTCATCAACTACAACTTTACATGTGTCTCCATTATTGGAAACCATGCCTACAACGGTATCCCCCTTGATCAAGTTAAATATTTCTTAAAGGAAGCATGTACTCACTAACTATCACAACACATAGGCAGATTTCTCTTCGATCCGTATCTTGATCCTCGAGGATCCAAAATGTATCATGTTAAAGCAAAGAGAGAGAACGGGCATACATTTGCATAGCATTTAATTTGCTCCTCGAAAAGCTCTACCAATCAAGGTCTAAGTGGTGAACCTTTTTCATTTTTTCTTAAATAAAAGATGCAAAACAAAAATAAAATTTAAACATATGAAATAAGTTATACAACATCATTGGGACAAAATAAAACAACACAATTATGGTGAAGACATGGCAAAACAATGACATCTCCTCTCAAATTTAATAACACTTAGGGCACATCATGAACATTCATCGAATATTCACTAACGATGACTTTTCTCAAATCAATTTAAGGAGAGGTAACGACACGGCTACTCAAGAACACCGTGCATCCGTCCTTGGGCGACATGGTGGGGCAATGCACAATCTCATCACAACCATCTGATCGGACCCTCTTGAAATCAAACATGGAGGAGAACATGGCAATGAAGAGCACGAGGTGGTTCATCGAGTAACGTTGGCCTA